TTTTTTTTTTTTTTTTTTAAATAACTCCGTCAAGTGGTCCAAAACTGAAGTGGGCATTTTCTAAGAACTGATTTCAAATTTATGTCAAAACTCTGGAACATAAACTCACGAAAGCCTCACCCCGTATATAATAGTTCCCATTTCATCTCGTCATTATTTTCACTGATACACAGATCGGTGATCGTATGGTCTGACATCTTATAGGTGTCAGACCATACGGTACCATATTATATCCCAACAAATAAATCATGTGCTGAAGACTTGATATGCTCAATATTTTCGTCTTGGGCCACCGCCTTATCAGAAAGGCTGCACGACACCACAGCTGGAAGGGCTGAATGTGACGGACGGAGACGAGGCTGAGCAGTCGGGAGTTGGCAGCTATTAAAATTTTAATGGTCTGGGACATAAGTGGGACATTTCTAACTTACGACTTTGATTCATCGCTGCTAAATGGGCACAGATCAATAAAAAAGATTTCATATCCATTTCTGTCTTTATTATTTCATCCATCCATCAATCAATTTCTCGGCCCAAATGAAGCTTCCTCAGCTAATGACACAGTAACACATTCACGGAAACATAAAAAGATAAAGTCCCACATTAAAGCCGTTATATGGATTATTTCTTATAAATCTCAAAGCTTGTCAACTGGCCTTGGTTTAATTCCTGCTTGACGAATGGCAGGAGGAACGCAGCGGTTATGTACTGTGCCTTTAAGTGTTTATACACACAACCTGGAACCACGTTTCAGAAACCCAGAGATGGAAAAATAGCTAGAAGGAAACCAGCAATGAAAGCAATCCAGAAGAAGAGAGCCCAATAAAATACAGTGTTAAGAGTTTGTGCTTATAACGTCGCAAACTATAAAAACGTTCTCAGGTTATGTACACATTTCCAAGGTGTTGCATCTGTAAACATGAGACAAAACAAAAATTGAAACAATAAAAGGAAAAAAAAAAAAAACCATGACATAGCACCTGTCTTTGTGTAGAACATGATTTCATTCTTAAACTCCTTGCGCTCCTCCAAGGCCTCGTCGATGCTCAGGATGATGCTTTCGCTGGTCTCGGGCCCGTACAGGAACTTACAGGCACAGCTCTTCTGCATGACCTCTGTCCGAGAAAAGCCTGTGAGTTCGCAGAAGCCATCGGAGCAGTAGACGATGGGAAAGCCCTTCGACATCTGAGCATTGGCCAGGATGAAGTTGCTGTCTGCAACGAAGCAAGAGAGGAAATGGAAAGTGAGCAAAAGCTGTTCTGGTCAGGGGGGTTCTTTAGTTAAATTACTGTAACACTGTAAATGGAACATTTGTAAAAAAAGGGGGGGGAAAAAGCACACTCTGTCTATTTTATTTTTTAGCAAAAAACTAGTTATGAATCAAACCACATGATCTTTTTTTTTTTTTTTTGTCTTGTTTATACCACAACTGCAGGAGTTTGTGTCCAACAGTGATGTTCCTATTAGGCTAAAGCCTCTGACTCAGAACATAGCAAAACGTATCTAAAAATAGAATCATAAAAAAGGAAGGCATAAGAAATACAGAGCCAAACAATTTTTTAACATTAGGTTTTAAACATGTTTATGTCGCCCATGAATTTTGACATTTGAAAGTGCTGAAAAGGATAACATTTGAGCGCGGCGTCTGCGGGGACTGATAAAGGTTTACGGCCACCATTAAGCTGCCGTTCTAAAAAGCTGTTATTTTTTCACTCTTGTGTTGAGCCTGGAAGTTGGGACTGAATTTGGCTTTTAGCAGAACTTCTCCTAAAAAGTATGCGGCTTGAAATGAAGTTTAAGAATAGAAGGAAAAAAAAAAAAAACTGAATTTGCAAGCTGATTTTTTTGTTTTTGTTTGTTTGTTTGGATTCAATGTGAAAGTCAAAAATGCGGCAGTGGGGGATTTTTCAGCTACAACACAATACGAGCTCAGAGCATAAACTGAACATTAACCAGCATGTCTTTAGGCAACAAAGCTGTGGTTTTGAGACATGCATGTTTAAACCTTGCAGTTCCCCTCACTACACCACCAGCTTTAAAAACTTCAAAAATGGAAACAAACGCAACTGGTCAAGTGGCACCTCTACAGCTCTGCGAGAGAGTTGCTCTCAGTGGACACAGGACTGATGATGTGACTTTTAACGCAGCGATCCACAGCATGATGGGATCTTCAGTTCAAGCATATGACGGCCTGGTGTGGGTTGAATGAATAGAGGTCATGTGGTTCGGTGAGCTTCCCGTTTAACTGCACGCTGGAGAGCAACTGAGCCTGACACTTTACACTCAGCTACATTTTCATATTATATTTCATATTAAAGCTATATTTGCAGGACTTTGTTTTGGCAGATTTCCATCTAATGATATTGGTTTCTTTCTTTTTTTTTTCTTCTTTGAAACAAACAAACTTTTATTCAGAATGAAGTTGATGATTGGGGAAGTTCTGATTTGACGACGGAAAGAAATCTCACGCGAGTTGACGTTTATCACAGTTAATTAGCCAATTGAGGCTCATTCTGGACAGCCAGTCGAAGCTAAGCAGCTGTTTATACCTGAATATCTACGATGGCTCACAGACCTGCTATACCAACATACACACATGGTGCCACAAGGCTGAGCTGTGCTGATAGACAGCTAATATATCCAGCACAATACTCATTACACATGGCAGTGGACAATGAAGGTTTGACAGATTGTGAAAAGTGTGTACTTGTGGATTTGAGTGTTTCCTGCTGCCATTTGATAAGCAGCCGAACAGCGAACTCTGGCCAGCGTATTATACAAGTGCACTAGAACGGTCTAACACAGTAATTGGAGAACAAATAAACTTTCAGACGTTTGCATAATTACAGTGAACGAATGAGTCACGCACACATTTCCAGACGTCCACACGCGCAAACATGAGCAGCGGTACGAGACGTCCAGCAAGACGGCTTGTTTCAATTACATTGCATTACAAAAATCTATTTTCTACATCGATAACTCACTTTTTGAGCAACCTGGTTGTCTAAATTGCTTTATGTCGCAAGTCAGGCTTTGTTGAGTAAAAGCCACCTTCGGTTTGCGCTACAAATGGAAAATCAGAGAGCAAAAGATTGCGTGTTCGGTTCTCGAGAGGAATCAGATGCTTGTTTTCCATTCTCTAGGAGACATTTAACTTTTCATGCTATTTGTCGAAACTAAACTGCATAACTCTTGTTTTAATTGAATTTTAGGTGTGATTGTCGTATTAGTTTAAGATACACTCAGCTTACACTGTAGCTGAATCCATTGCAGACAACAAGACACACCCAGATATGTCATATAAGCAGTGGTGGAGAAAGTACTCAAAAAATTTACTT